GGAAATAAAAAAAAAAACAAAAATAAGAAAAAAAAAATAGAAGAAAACCCAGAGGGTTTTGTGTATATATGTGTTGTCATGTTGTGTGTGGACCTAAGGTAAGTAGAAGTAGCAAGACGTCCTGAAAACTTGCATGTTCATGAGACAAAAAAAGGCACCAGAAAACCCTACCATCATGTAAAACAATTACAGGCTTTCTTTTTCATCACTTGGCAGGACGGTAGTACCCCCTGGGCGGTTGCTGTCTACCAACCACTACTATAATATATTAATATATATATAATATATATATATTATATAAAATATATATATTTTTATATATATATATATATATATAAATATACACATAATAAGAAAAAGTTTTGGAGTGAGATTAACAAGTTAAGAAAGCCCAGAGAACAAATGGATTTGTCAGTTAAAAATAGGAGGGGAGAGTTTTTAAAAATGGGAGTTAGAGGTTTTGGGAAGATGGAAGGAATATTTGAGGAATTTTTAAAATGTTGATGAAGATAGGGAAGCTGTGATTTGTGTATGGGGCAAGGAGAAATAACATCTTGTAGGAGTGAGGAAGAGCCATTTGTGAGTGTGGGGGAAGTTCGTGAGGCAGTAGGTAAAATAAAAGGGGGGTTTAAGGCAGCCGGGATTGATGGGATAAAGATAGAAATGTTAAAAGCAGGTGGGGATATAGTTTTGGAGTGGTTGGTGCAATTATTTAATAAATTTTATGGAAGAGGGTAAGGTACCTAGGGATTGGCAGAGAGAGCATGCATAGTTCCTTTGTATAAAGGAAAAGGGGAAAAGAGAGTGCAAAAATTATAGGGGGATAAGTCTGTTGAGTGTACCTGGTAAAGTGTATGGTAGAGTTATAATTGAAAGAATTAAGAGTAAGACGGAGATAGGATAGCAGATGAACAAGGAGGCTTTAGGAAAGGTAGGGGGTGTGTGGACCAGGTGTTTACAGTGAAACATATAAGTGAACAGTATTTGATAAGGCTAAAGAGGTCTTTGTGGCATTTATGGATTTGGGGAAAAAGGGGTATGACAGGGTGGATAGGGGGGCAATGTGGCAGATGTTGCAAGTGTATGGTGTAGGAGGTAGGTTACTGAAAGCAGTGAAGAGTTTTTACGGGATAGTGAGGCTCAAGTTAGAGTATGTAGGAAGAGGGAAATTTTTTCCCAGTAAAAGTAGGCCTTAGACAAGGATGTGTGATGTACCGTGGTTGTTTTAATATTTTATAGAGGGTTGTAAGAGAAGTAAATGCGAGGGTCTTGGCAAGAGGGTGGAGTTAAAAGATTTAAAAAATCACACACAAGTGGGAGTTGTCAAGCTGCTCTTTGCTGATGACACTGTGCTCTTGGGAGATTCTGAAGAGAAGTTGCAGAGATTGGTGGATGAATTTGGTTGGGGGTGCAAAAGAAGAAAATTAAAGGTGAATACAGGAAAGAGTAAGGTTATGAGGATAACAAAAAGATTTTGGTGATGAAAGATTGAATATCAGATTGGGGAGAGAGTATGGAGGAGGTGAACGTATTCAGATATTTGGGGAGTGGACGTGTCAGCGGATGGGTCTATGAAAGATGAGGTGAATCATGAATTGATGAGGGAAAAAGAGTGAGTGGTGCACTTAGGAGTCTGTGGAGACAAAAAACTTTGTCCTTGGAGGCCAAAGAGGGGAATGTATGAGAGTATAGTTTTTACCAACGCTCTTATAGGGGTGTGAAGCGTGGGTGATGATTGTTGCAGCGAGGAGAAGGCTGGAGGCAGTGGAGATGTCATGTCTGGGGGCCCAATGTGTGGTGTGAATTTAATGCAGAGAATTCGTAGTTTGGAAGTTAGGAGGGGGTGCGGGGATTACCAAAACTGTTGTCCAAGGGGGGGTGAGGAAGGGTTGTTGAGGTGGTCGGACATGTAGGGGAGAATGGAGCGAACAGAATGATTTCAAGAGGTGTATCAGTCTGTAGTGGAAGGAAGGCGGGGTAGGGGTCGGCCTAGGAAGGGTTGGAGGGAGGGGGTAAAGGAGGTTTTTGTGTGCGAGGGGCTTGGACTTCCAGCAGGCATGCGTGAGCGTCTTTGATAGGAGTGAATGGAGACAAATGGTTTTTAATCTTGACGTGCTGTTGGAGTGTGAGCAAAGTAACATTTATGAAGGGATTCAGGGAAAACCGGCAGCGCGGACTTGAGTCCTGGAGATGGGAAGTACAGTGCCTGCACTCTGAAGGAGGGGTGTTAATGTTGCAGTTTAAAAACTGTAGTGTAAAGCACCCTTCTGGCAAGACAGTGATGGAGTGAATGATGGTGAAAGTTTTTCTTTTTCGGGCCACCCTGCCTTGGTGGGAATCGACCGGTGTGATAATAAAAAAAAAAAAAATAAATAAATATATACATATACATATACATATATATATATATATATATATATATATATATATATATATATATATATATATATATATATATATATATATAATCTTCAGGCAAGGCTCAACACGGTTGAACCGGCGATCCAGTTTACACTAGAAGAAGAGTCCAATGACAAGCTACCTTTCCTCGACGTCCTCATTCATAAAGTAGACAACAACCTAAGATTTCAAGTTTATCGGAAACCTACCAATAAAAATGATCTCACACACTTCTATTCCAGTCAAGATACCAAGACCAAAAGAGGCATCATCATCGGGTTTTTCCTAAGAGCATACCGAATTTGTAGTCCTGAGTTTCTTGACGAGGAATGTACATACATTCACCAAACCTTCACTGAGTTACATTTTCCTTCCTTTTTCATCAAAGACTGTAAGAAAAGAACTCTTCAGATGATTAATTCTCCATGCACCAACACCACTCCCAACAAAGTTATAATTCTTCCCAATAGCCAGGTTGCACTGAACGTTTCTAAAATACTTTCACTAGCTAACACCAGAGTCGCCATCGCTTCTAGCACTTCAATAAAGGATCTAACCAGGACAAAATCAAAGTACCATGAACCAGTCAATGCAGGGGTTTACACTATACCCTGTGGAGGCTGTGACAAGATTTATGTAGGTGAAACAGCAAGAAACCTTGACACCCGCCTCAATGAACACATTTACTCATGTAGGAACGATAACCTGAACAACGCCTGTGTACAACACCGAAATTCCACCAATCATCTCATGAAATTCAGGGACACCCAATTAGTGATCAAAGAAACTAATTTCCGCAGATGCAAGTGCCTAGAATCAGCACTGATCACCCTTTCAAATACAATTAAACAAAACAACGGCAGCTTCACCATCTCTGAAGTCTTAGCGAGAATCCTCCTGAAAACAGTAAACCCTGCCATCACATAGTCTCTCCCGTTATACTACACAAAGCACATTACAGAGAGTGAACACTGAAACAGGCCTTCTCTATCCAGTCTACATTTGTCCAACCTATTTTTCTGTTACCCAAGTAATAGCTTTTACATCCTTTTGCTCATGTACGAATTAATTGCTCTACCATATTGTATTACTACTACAACTTTTGTCACTACTACTACTACTACTACTACCACCACTAGTGAACATCGAAATGGTACCTCACTAGTATTGCACCTCACTCTGAGCCTTTATATACCCTCTGTGTCCATATACTGCTTGTATCGGCTTGACAAAGCTCCTGGAGAGCGAAACGTTGCCACAATAAAATGTCACATTAGTTGCACTCGTGTCCTTTTACTTTACATATTCTACCAACATTATTACTATCCTCCAATAGTTGTTCATATCTTACCCTAACTGCCTCCTCTTTTAGTTTATAGACCTTCACATCTCTCTTCCCTGATGCTTCTATTCTCCTTGTATCCCATCTACCTTTTACTCTCAGTGTAGCTACAACTAAAAAGTGATCTGATATATCTGTGGCCCCTCTATAAACATGTACATCCTGAAATCTACTCATCAGTCTTCTATCTACCAATACCTAATCCAGCAAACTACTGTCATTTTGCCCTACATCATATCTTCTATCCTCTTTTTCTTAAAATATGTATTACCTATAACTAAACCCCTTTCTATACAAAGTTCAATCAAAGGGCTCCCATTATCATTTACACCTGGCACCCCAAACTTACCTACCACACCCTCTCTAAAAGTTTCTCCTTATAACAATAATAATAATACAATATAATAGTAATAATAATAACAGTAAGGAGAATCTTCAAAAGGCTGCCAGTAGTTGGTGCCACCATCAGCAAAACAATGGTAACTACTACTAGTACACTTTGCACCTGTCTAGACTGAAGTCGTCTTAAGTAGGCATTTCTGCCCGAAATGCCTTGGCATGATAGTGGCTTTCTTTGCTCCAATCATATTATGATATATAAACACACATTGTAACCTTTGCAAAGAAATATATAATGCATTCATTTATTTATTTATTTAAGGAACCTCCTTTGAAGGGGAAGTTCGCATCCTGAAATTTCATTCGTATCCTGAAGCAAAAAATTGACTGAACGACAGTTCGTATCCTGAAAAATTCGCATGGTGGGGCATTTGTAACCCGAGGTTCCACTGTACAATGCAAGACGACTTGCTTACCTCTGATTCTGGTCCCGTGCTGCTGCCTTGAGTTGATTCATATCTGACATGTAAGTATCTCGAGTAAATCTCATTGTATCAATAGTAGCTTTAACCTCAGTCACTCCCTGCCGAGTCTCACTGATCTTCTGTGTCACTTCTTTAACTCGATCCTCCTGGAAATAATCAATATTATGAAATATTAATAATAACTGTAACTTGCTGTCATATAACTCACCATCATACAACTTGATTTCATACAACTCACTGTCATACAACTTGCCGTCATACAACTCGCCGTCATACAACTCGCCGTCATACAACTCACCGTCATTCACCTTGCCGTCATACAACTTGCCATCATACAACTCGCCATCATACAACTCGCCATCATACAACTCGCCATCATACAACTCGCCATCATACAACTCACCATCATACAACTCACCATCATACAATTCACCATCATACAAATTGCTGATGTATAGCTTGCCGTCATATAACTTGCCATCATAGACAGAAGGGCCCCACTTACACGGCAGGTTAGGTTTCAAGCTACCGCTGGAAAGCGGCCACCACCAGTAAGCAGAACGCCATTTTTTCCAATTATAAATGCATACAAATGCTTGATACCAAGTTAACACTAACATATATTAACCCTTTGACTGTTTCAGGCCCCTTTCTGAAACTGTCATTCTATGTCGCTCAATTTTTAAAAAAAAAAAAAAATATTTTTTCTTATGAAATGATAGAGAATCTTTTCCTGATGGTAATGACACCAAAAGTTCGAAATTTTGTTGAAAACTCATGGAATTATACTCCCGCGAAGTTAGCGGTCTTGGCGACATATGCGTATCGGCGAATTCACCGACTTTGAGCCCTATTTTCAGCCAATTCCATTGTTCCAGTTGACCAAACTCATAGCTATTTCTTTAGAACTCCATTTTATCTATCAGCTGAGTACAAGAAACCTCCCATTTACTAATTTGGACTACCCAATATGGTGGTCAGAAATTGGCAATTTGGCCAATTTCATGCAAACTAAAAAAGATGCCAATTTCAAAATAGGGTCCAGAATAAACAAGGTAGACATTCGTGGCACTAAAATAACATATGCTCTGTTCATTAGTCACATCTCTAGGCCCCTCTTATATTATTATTGCTTTCTATTTTGATTTTTTATTCATACAAAAAAATATAAAATTTACTGTTATGCAGACTACTGCATTATTGTAAAAATGGTATAAATAATATCAGTGCACTAGTGAAAGAATATTAGACTCCCCAGTTGACATGTATTGGACGTGTGGTGTGATTTATTTACTCCTGAACATTGGTAAAAATCGAACATTTCCGCTACTTTGAGCTCAGTTTCAAGGTCGTTTTCATCATCAAAGTAATGAAAATCATCTCTATTTCTGTAATATGTTTTCCATTTTATCACCTAAGACCATGAAAACGCGAATACAACAATAAATACTATACGAAAATACACCTCAAAGTCGGCGTTTTATTCCAAAAAAACGATCAGTTTTTTTTTCTCATTACGCAATGTGTGCTGCAGGATTTTTTTTATGTGGTGCACACTGACCACACAGACCCATCCTCTCACATATGGGCCTACCAGCTTTCTCCCGCTTGATTTGAAGCCGCTAGAATTATTGAGAATATATACGTCACAAACATTGGCTCGTAAGACGTATTTATACGTCGAAAACAGTCAAAGGGTTAAGCTAACAGTACAACTAGGCATCAAAAACAATAAAAAGTAAAATAAATACACAGTACCTTCATTACTTACCTTAAAATATTTGTAGTCTTAATGTAGGGTGCGAGGTAAGTAGTATTTATTTGTAGGAAGTCAGGTTTAAGTATCCGATAGGTGTAGCTTTGTTGGGCTACATAGCTACACCTGCCTACATAGCTATATGATATGTAAAGTGGCCCAGAGTGATATTATTACCATCGACACACCTCTTTCACTGAGTCCAACCCTTTCAGGGTTTCTGACGTACTAGTACGGCTTATGCACCAGGGTTATTGACGTACTAGTACGCCTAAATTCTAGCGCCTTCAAATCTAGTGAGAGAAAGCTGGTAGGTCTACATATGAAAGAATGGGTCTATATGGTCAGTGTGCACAGTATAAAAAAAATCCTGCAGCACACAGTGCATAATAAGAAAAAAAAATCTCTGACGGTGTTTTTGGTTTAAAACAGCGACTTTGTAGTGTATTTTCGTATGGTATTTATGGTTCTATTTTAGGTTTCCTGGTCTCATTTTATAGAATGGAAGACATATTACAGGAATTGAGATGATTTTGATTGGTTTCTTAATGAAAAGTGCCTTGAAATGGAGCTCAAAGTAGCAGAAATGTTCGATTTTTACCAAAATTCAAAAGTAAACAAATCATGCCATCCATCCAATACACGTCAACAGGTGAGTCTAATATTCTTTCACAAGTGTGTTGATATTATTTATACCATTTCTACACTAATGCAGTAGTCTGCATAACAGCAAATCTTATGTTTTTCTTGTGAGAATGAAAATTGAAAGTGGAAAGCAAAAGAGATGTAAAAGGGGCCTGGGGACGTGACTAATGAAGAGAGAAAATGTTATTTTAGTGCCAGGAATGTCTGTCTTGTTTATTCTGGACCCTATTTGGAAATTGGCATCTTCTGAAATTTGTGTGAAATTGGCAAAATTGCCAATTTCTGACCACTTTATTGGATAGTTGAAATCATTAAATGAGTGATTTCTTGTACTCATTCAATAGAAAAAATGGAGTTCTAGCAAAATAGATATGATTTTTATCGACTAGTACACTGGAATTGGCCGAAAATAGGGCTCAAATTCGGCGAAATCGCCAATGCATAAACATCGTCGAGACCGCTAACTTTGTGAAAGCATAATTCTGTAAGTTTTCCATCAAATTTCATACTTTTGGTGTCGTTATGATCGGGAAAAGATTTTCTATTACAGTGGACCCCGCATAACGATTACCTCCGAATGCGACCAATTATGTAAGTGTATTTATTTAAGTGCGTTTGTACGTGTATGTTTGGGGGTCTGAAATGGACTAATCTACTTCACAATATTCCTTATGGGAATAAATTCGGTCAGTACTGGCACCTGAACATACTTATGGAGTGAAAAAATATCGTTAACCGGGGGTCCACTGTGTTTCATAAAATAATTTTTTTTTCTCTGAAAAATTTTCTACCCTGAGAACGAGTTTAGGAGAGGGCCTCTCAACCCTGAAAGGGTTAATCATCATAAACAAAGGGAGAAGTAATGAGAAGAAGTCATGCCGAGAATTGTAAACAAAGCCGAATGCATTAAGAGGAGTGACTGTGTCAAAGGTGCATTGGTATGCATTTTCTCTGGTGCTTGACCAGAGAAAAAGGAATTTTTTACCTCCACCCGGCTACATCTCACATTTATGTGAAATTCACTGTACTGCGGGTGTATCATGTGTATATGATATGTGTTCCTTATATAATTTTTAAGAAAATATCATAGATGGAGTAATGAAAATGTCTACATTACCACAAAATACGACATTTAACATGCCCAAGAGTGAGTAATATTATTACATTAGTGTTATTATTAAAATGGTGTCAAGGTTAGAGGGGCATTCTTAGTGATTTTAATGTGTACCTGCATTCCAGCACAGTGTGTAAGTTTAAGTACAGGTACACATAAGTACATATAACTATCAGAGTTCATATAAAACAAACAATAACTTTTAAAACACTTCAAATTTTCAAAAGTTTCCTGACATAATGGAGAAGGTTATCTGGTCGGTTGGTATAGCAGGTTGTACGGTTAGTACAGTAGGTTGGATGATCCATTAAGTTGGTTACTTGGTACAGTAGGTTGGTTGGTTTGATAGTACAATAGATTGGTTGGTTCATTGGTACAGGTCTTTTGGCTGGTTAGTACAGTAGGTTGGATGATTGCTACAGTGGGTGAGTTTGTACAGTAGGTTGGTTGGTACAGAAGGTTGGTTGGTACAGTAGGTTAGGTGGTTAGTACAGTAGTTTGGTTGGTACAGTAAGTAATAATAATAATATATCTTTATTTCTACAAGTACAAGGTATACAGTCCTAACTGCCATCAATGACATACAGTGGTACCTTGACTTACAGGTGCCACAATTTACGAGTTTTCTGAGTTACGAGCAGTCTCTCAGTCAATTTTTTGCTTCGAGTTGCGAGCCAAAACCCAAGTTACAAGCGAGCAGTTATTTTGCCAAAAAACAAATGAAAAACAAAATATTTACTGAAAGGTGGTTTTGGGACTTGCACTCATAAAATAATACTAGTGCCATGTTCTCACTGGAGGTAATCGAGGAATTATCTTTAGTCATTCTTCAAAAAAATAACGATGCTAAGTTTATGACACTTGCAAAATATCTTGCCCTTCACTCCCACACAAATCCCATAATATTTGGAATATTTCCAATATTCCACAAGCCAACTGTAGAACAATCATTTTTAATGATTCCTGTCAATATTATTGCATTTACATCAATAATAAATGATGGGCTTCATGAAATAAGTCAATAACTTACTTCAGAGATATTCACCGGGAACGAGAACCAGCCTCCCAAGATCTAGTGCAGTTAGACTCTCAAAAAAACTGTTTTCTCTTACCCAGGACCAAAGAACATACCATAGGAAGGAGCTGTAATGATTTTATATGCTCAGATTGGTCTTGGACATTCGCCATATTATGGCGAATAAGTAACATAAAAACATGTTATATTCTACAGAATATAACATGTTTTTATGTTACTTATAGCATTTATTATGTCATATTAGATCAATTCTGATAGATAAATAAGCTGCATAGCTGATATTAGCATTATATTGAAGTATTTTCTCCTGCCCCTCGAGACTCAGGAATTCCGTCGACGTAAGCAAATGTCTGATTTCCAAGGTAAATACACTTTATAAAACCAGTTTATTTCTCTACGTTCCCTTTTATTATGTTTTTATACAAAATTTCTTATTTATAAATACGTCTTTTATTTAGAAACCCTGTAACAAAAAAATTTGGGTGGTTTTTAGGGGGCTGGAACAAATTAATGGAATTTCAATTAATTTCAGAGTAAAATTGATTAGATATACAAGCAAATTGAGTTACAAGCTCGGTCACAGAATGAATTAAAC